CGGGCGCGGGGGGCGGCGCGTGGGCAGCAGGGTGGGGACCACAGTCAGTTCTAGAGTGATCTCCTAGTCCTCACGAGCGCATAGGATTTCACGGATATTATTTCGGATAACGTTTGAACCCCGAACGGATCTCACCTAGTATGCGATTTCGGGGTTCTATATGTTTGAACCGTTGGATCGTAGTCAACTTCAGGTATGTTGATCTAGGTTTTTCCAGGATCGTATAGTATTTGATGGATCGTAAAACGGAGTCTCGGATACTCCGAAAACGTCAACCCTAGAGTATGTTTTACGGATAATTGAACCAGTTACAGGTCATGGGCAGGTGAAAGAACTACGTGTGGCTTGATCCCTCAGAAAGGGTACGTAGGCAGCCTACAGTTAACAGGCGCAGCCACAAGTTAGGGCCCTAGAGTTTCTGTTTTGCTTCTAGGGGCATTTTGGTCATTTTGACCCCCAACCACCAGGTGTCAGTTTTAGACAGGTTTCGACCCGGATTTCAAAGTGGAATTAGGGTCAGGTCATTTATGCTCGGTTGATTATGGTGTAAACAGGGACTGTGTTGGTTGGTCTGGTGTAGTGGTGGCATTTGTGGGTTAGGTTGGTGTGGTGAGATCGGGTGGGTTCACGGGGTGATTGGGTGGGGGTGATATTGTTATATAGTCGGGTCTGGGGTGTTGGGCTTGGGCCTTATTAGTGGGGGCTGGGTGTTGGGTGGGCTGAGAGATTCCAACGGGTGGAGGAGGAGAAGAGGTGGCTGATAGATTCCGTTGGGTTTTGTTGCTGGGGATGCGAGGAGGGTGATGGGTGCTTTGTTTCTTTCTAATAATTACCTTTGTTAATACAAATTTTATATTCATTTTTTATGCGAGGAAAATGCTGGGGATGAAAGCCTCATAACCATAAAAGTGGGACATACATCTGCATAAATTAAAATAAAATTCACATAGGCATTTAACAGTTCAATTAACAGTCCGATTAATGGAGGGGATGATTTACAGAGTTTATAACAGTCCAATTAATAGTCCTAATTAGGAGAGAAGTATTTTCATTTAAATTTATCAATAGATTAATGAGGTGCCCAGGCCAGGGATCTAGAAGAGAGTCCCCGGCCCTAGG